CCAATCTCTTGGCGTCGCCGCTTGCAGCTTGGATTTTCAACTCGGCAGGAATCGGGGAGAACCACACTTGCACAGAAAACAGCTTCTTCTTGAGGGCATTCAAGTTGGCATTTTTGCGAATTGCACCAGCAAGGCCTTGCTTTTCTTTGTTGAAAAGAAAGCGGCCCTGTTGCTGATCCTTTTGCCAACTCTCGTACTGCCTTTGCATTGCGGCTGTCAATGATTTGCCTTCAGATTCTTTTTTCTCAATACGGTCCAACCACTTTTGGTGGTCCTCACTCCATTTGACGATTGCCCTTTGGATGGGAGATGCGATCCAATCCGGCAGAGGAGCCCTTGAAGTCTCATCATCTCCATCCTGAAGAGCCCAAATAAGTCGGGTCTCTCCTTCAGCTGGAGTATTTCTCAAAGCCTCCAAAACTTCAATCTCTCCGTCATCAGTGGACATGTCTGGCGGAGTGAGGAGATGGACCAAATGCAGCATCCCATCCCTAGCCCTTTTTCCCTCCAGAAGATCGTGGACTCGCTGAATGTTGCCTGAGGGTGGAAAAGCAGGTGGTTCAAATGAGCAGCCAACAGCGCATTCTATATGCACATCACGCACACACAGGCAAAGATTGAGATGACAAAGAATGCATGCATGTCCACACGTCCAGGTTTATATATATATATACACCGTCTGTATTTATATATATGCACATATACCAGAGTATATATATAGAATGAAAGACACCGGGGAGATGTACCCTTCCCAAACATTGCACAAAGAGATGAACCCATTCACATAGAATGCGCATGAATTCCCTGCCTTCAAATCGCCACTTGGCAATGTCTTCAATGCTGATCAGGCCACGCTGAAGCCATGCATACCACACAAGTTTCCCAGACCTTGCTTTAGCAAGAGTGTGTACACTGGTGTGTAAACATGCTGTATCAAGCCTTATGCCACAGTAAACAAGAAACCATAGATAATAGGAAGAACACACCTTTGATTGTTTGTTTGCCGGTGCCTTCCTTTCTCCAGAAGCCGAGAGGCTCATACTTACCAAGAGCATCAAGAGCGTAGGCATCCGCGCGCAAAGCTGTCAAGACGGACGACCTCATATTCCCCATATTGCAAAGGAACATGCATATAGAATGCCGCGGTGCACTTGGTGTTTATTTCACGCCAAACCCGGAGACGCACACACACAGATATATATATATATATGTAACTGCAAAAGAAACAAGAAAACAAGCAATTGAAGGCCCAAGTAGCTTTGTAGACAAACTGCCCTGCACAGAAAGGGAAAGAGCGTCTAGCTGCTTCCTCACATCAACGCTGTTCACCCAGCCGACAGAGGCTGTGCAAAATGCCCGGTTCAGCGTGTGTAAGTGCTGGTGCCATCCATCGTTTGGAGCCCCGGCCGCCCCCCAGCCGCCGGGTATAGTGATGCCGAGGTCGGTGGAGTCACCACAAACGATGTCCTTATGCATCCAAAAAGTTGCAAATACAAAAACATTGTGGAACAGCACATGCGCACACTCAAGAGAACACTACACACCAAAAAAGGTGGAAGAAAGCATCCTTTGAAATACACTGCAAATTAGGCCGATGTGTTCACATAGAATGCTCACATATCACATGTTTTCCAAAATGTACTGTAAAACCATCAGTCTTTCCAAATGTCTTTAAAGCCCCTTCCTTGAAAGTCACTTAATGTTCCTAACATTCCTTGAATGTCTCTAAGTATCCCAAAAGTTATTGTCCAACTATTTCGAGTCCCTCCATCACTGCTTGCGCGTGTTTGGATTCGAGTAGGCTGCTAAAGGACCCATTATATATATATATATATTTATTTATTTATAGATATATAGATAGATAGATCGCTTGCGGCTTGTGCGCTCCTTCCTCACCTGCCTTCACCTTCCTCCCCTTCTGCTCTTCCGTTCATCCTTTTCGCGACAAGCTTTTCACAAGCCAACGCTTTGCAAGCTCCATTCCTATTCCTCCACCTCCAAACCTGGCTCGATGACCTGGCTCAACCTACCTGGGACTCGCGTGGCGCTCTCCTTCCTTTGCCGTCCTTCCTCGTCCTTCATCCTGGTCCAGATGGATTCGGCAAGAGTGCATGCATGATAGGCTGTTTTGTCAGAACATGGTCTCTGCGGCACTGGCATTCCTTTTTGAACACCCAGTGTCAGTCACGTTTATTTCCCGAGTACCTATTAAAAAACGGACCCCTATTAGAAAAAAGTCATGTCGGAAACCCCTAAATACGGTTTATATTTGTTTTTAAATTACCGCCCTTTCAAGCCGCTACTAAACTACCAACATTGCCGACTTTGGAGGAGTTTTTCTTATTAGGTTCCAAAAACAACCGTAACTGCCCACCTCTGTCCGCCCTGTCTATCCACCATGACACGCCGCGCTTACACCAGCAGGCTTTCCTTCCCCCAATGGCACGGACTCACTCAAACGCACTTGCCACCGAGGTCATGCAACACCGCATGGCACAGCGACATCACCTTTCGAAAGCTTTAGCTGTTAGTCTACTGAAGAATCACTATTCTAATGAATGTTTTTGTAGGGGAAAAAGGAAGACCCTTCGATCTGGAGCTTTTTTGCATTTTTGATATGAGTTTAATAAAGGATTTTATATAAACATTTACTGATTTACTTTTTGGTTTTGAAGCTCTTCCCAGGTGACCCTATTTTGGACCGGGGGGCCGTGTTTTTTAGTAGGTGGACCGGATTAGTCCTCCAGTCAAGTGGCATTGGGTCAAAGCCATTTCACCCAGTGGGTTGGCCTCAATTGTGGTCTATTCTGTTCATTTTCGGTGGTCAACCAAGGTCTCCTGGCTTTGACCCATAGGCAAGGCAGCGAGTCCTGTCCCCCCGTGGTGAAACTCCAACCCTGGCTCCACTCCCGTGGCTCTATTCGCACCAATCATGCGCCAATCAGATCGCTTGCTGCCCTCGCTCTCCTTCCTCACCTGTCCTCACTGACCTTCCTCTCCTCTCGCAACTCCTCCTCCAAGCTCCAAGCTCCAAGTTCTCCGGGCCCCTCCATCACTCGTCATCCTTTCTAGGATTGCGAGAACGGTGCATAACAACTGCTAAAGAACTTTGTTGGCGAGTCTCTCCGTCTCTCAGCTTCAATCGTGTGACGTCCGTCAGATGCACATCTCCCCCTGGTCCTTTGGTCCCTGGGTTCCCTGGTGGTCCCCTTGGTCCTTGGTCCCTTGGTCATCTATCTCGCAGTCTCCCACCAGGTCCTCCCTGATTTTTTCGTAAAAAGACTCCCTCAACACATCTAAACATAGGGCAATCCTAAGATTGCTCCTCCTCCTCAATGCTTATCAAGCTTTCTAGGTGTAGGTGCACCCAATTTCACCCGCTTTTGTCTTGAATACCCAGTCTCAGTCTCTCCTCATACGTGGTTCAAGCTTGTTTGCCTAGGTTTGTCGCTAAGGTCATATACACTTAGAATGCCTACAAGTTCATCTTCCTTTGTTGCTTCCGTCCACAACACTGTCTCCCCCAAAGTCCTCCCCGTATATCTGTGGTGAAACCCGCAACCATCACAGGTCTGGTGAAGAATTCCCTTGAATATGCTAAATTTTTCCAAATGTCCTTCTCAAATGTCTAGGTTTCCCTTATATATATATGGGTTTCCCTTATAGGTTTCCCTTATATACGGGTCCGCTTTTCCTTTTCCTTCAACCATACTGACCCAACTTACCAAAAGCATCTTTCACGAGCAACGTGTGTATGCATATACATATAAACATATACAAGTTATGCACACTTATATATATATACATGAATTATTATGCACAATAGATAGGTATTTTGCACATAGAATGCTCTACACATCACATGTATGTTCAAATAAAACTCCTGTCAGCACTATAATATTTATATATATATAGATGTATAGATAGGTATATATATAGATAGATATGCGCGCTCACACACTCTTAGAAGGAAGGATATTGAGATCTGTACTTTGAATTGTATACAAGTTTCCGCGTTGTGCTGTTTGCACCATTCCTCTTTCAACGCAGTGTATTTGCGGGATGAGTGTTGGGAGGCATGATCGCAAAGGATGAGGGCCTTCTCATTCCATGTCAATCCAAGTTCTCTCCTTCGGCTTCTCAACTCGCCGGCCAAGAAGTCTAGAAAATCAAGGAACGTCTCCGAGTTCCAAATGTGGGTCCTGCCTTGGCAGGGCCCCACGTGCAGGTGCTTGGAAAGCTCCTGTGTCCAAAAAATTAACTTACAACTTGAAATACAACTCGGCTTTAAAACACGAGCGGAGGATGATGAAAAAAAGGATGATGAGATTGTTGGATGAGAGGATTAGGATGGGAAAAGGGTCGATCAGAATGCTAAAGACATTCTAACTGCATGAATTCTCTTCCTTGCCTCACGGATTTTGGAATATTTTCACTGCACAAAACAGGCTTTAACCCATGCTCCTTGTTCGCTGCTCGCCTCTCCTGCTCAGTGATGCCTGTTTGGGAACAAGACACGTATCCCCGGCCAAGGCTTCCGTCCGACCACGACAGGGTCGTTAGAGTTCTTGGTACTCGCCAACCGTCAACTGGACAATGAGATGCCTCGCCACCCTGGAGTCTTGTCGCGTTCATTGCTGATTCCTCCATGCTTTCCGTGTAGCTTTGGCCCAGGCACCGCTCTATGCAGTGGCGCACCCTTCTGTAGGACAAGTTTTTGGCATACTGGTCGAAGAAGACACGCTTCTTCTGCAAGGTGCGCCTTGCTGGGTTAAAGCACACCGACCAAACCTGGTCAAAATTGGCTATTAGCCTGCCGTTATACTTGCCACTCTCCACATTCAGTTGCACCCACTCTTGTACCCGAATGAGTAGTGGATGGTTTGGAGGGAGATGGCGCCCTGGCTTCGTGTTGGAGCATGGTGCAATCCCCGATCGCCGGCATATGCGCTGGGAGAATTTCCTGAAAAATGTGAAACAAATGCTTTTGAAATGGATACTCAATGTGTCAGGATATATATGTATATACCCATATATATATATATACCCATACATATATATATATATCCATATATATAGTTGTATATATACATATTATAATATATATATATATCATGAAAATTCTCAATGTTTGGCCCACATAGAATGCTCTTTATAAGCGGAATCAGGCCAAGGAGCAGGAAATTTGCGCTGGTCGGTTTCAATGAAATCGGGCACAACTCCTTCTCTAAGCGCTCACAAATCTCATTCAAATGTGTCTCTGGGTCGTCCTCTCTGAGGTTCATATTCAGCAACTTCAATAGTTCCTCCGGCCTCTTCTCAGTGACCATGGAGACAGCCTGATTCCACTGCTCAATGGTCGCTTGCAATGCACTGCTCACATACCGGTAGTCGACCTCCTCTCCAAGAGAAATGCGCTCTGCCTGCACAGCTGCGCGTCTACACTCACCCAATAGAAGGGACGGTAAACACCATTAGGACTTTTAGCCGCTAGGCCCCTAGGGGAAAGGGAAAGAAGCCACATATATTTATATATGCACCTAACAAATGTATAGTACACATGATTAGTAAACACTATACATACATAAACAAAACCGGTCTCTTAATGTCTTTCAGTGAACGACAGCATCAGCAACCAGATTCTCCAGCTCTGGTGGAAGGATCGTGTTTTGTGGTGGTGTTTCTGAGTCAATTGGCTTGCCCCTCCGGCAAACGAACTTGTTCTTGATGCCCAAAAGCCGTCGCAAAGAGTTTGGTACTTCCTGCCAGGAACAGCTGTGGCTGCCCACTGACATGGACATAGAATGCATCGCTATTGGTCGTTCTATACATATTGATAGACACACATTCATCAATCCATCCATGCAGCCAGCCAACCATGTGTTTATCTATGCAAAGCCTACCAAAATTGCATGCATATATATATATATATATAGATATATATATATGTATATAAATATATTTGCCGCATACTATACCATGCAGAAAAAACGCTGTTCTGAAAGGAGATTGTTCTTTTTGCTGCTGTCCTTTTTAGATTTGGCCACACGTGGAGCAGCAGCGCAAAGTAGACTCCATTGTTCAGCCTTCCTCTGCTTGCACCATTTATACATGCAACAGCGGTAGTACCCTTTCATGTGCTGCACTGCAAGGCAAGGATTCTTGATAGCCGGATCGTTCTTCGCCTCATCGTAAGCCTTCATCCTCAGTTAGCTGCAAAGCTGGCATTATTTTTGGGTGGTTATATGCATATATATATATACACACACTATACACACATATAGAGATAGCCACCCAAGAAGCCTTGAGTTCCTTTTCCACCTGATCCTACCAAATTTCCAGTATAACTATATATATATATACACCCAGACTGTATTCCTGCATAGTCCTGTCAAACGTGCAAAATGTTAAGTCTCTAAAACACAGTTTGCACATAGAATGAATCGACATAGAATGCCGATGAATGTAGACGCCAAGTCTCAACTGCTCCTTCTGCCACAATGTTGCGCTTTCATGCTTGCCCTTGGCAAAACTGCGGCTGTCCACCCCCTTCTTCTTTCTCTTGTACTTTCTGACTCCGCTGACTCGTTTCCCTTTCTTGGCCGGTTTTGGGCGTCTTGTGCTCCCAGCGATGACACCCATGCGCGGAGGTCCATATTCTCCTGCTTTGCGCTTGCCTCTGATGCGTCTCAGAACCACATCAGCAGTTTGGCCTGCTTGCTTCGTAGAATCATCCTCCATCTGTGAGATCCTTGTTGACACAGTGCCCCATGCATCAGCTGCCACTGCAAAAGTGGTCAAGATTACTGCTTGTGCCACTGTAGTGGTAAAGGAGTTACCCACTAAGTCATGGGTAAAGGATGGCTTGGACAATAGTTCTTGATAGATCTCGCTTGACCAGGACGATTCGAAAAAGCCTTGTACATTCATGAAATCTGAAGTCCCCAAGTATCTTTCCAGGTGAGTTGCATAGACGGGATGCCCGGGAGTCACGCAAGGAACCACCTGCTCTGCGTACACAGGTCTTGAATAGGAGCCATTGCAATTCACAAAAAGAGCATTGCAGTCAGGTGCACTTTCCTTTGCCAGCTTTACCAAGTGCTGGTGGCGGCCGGCCTTCACTGCACACTTTGGCTGATTTGCAAAAATGCTCTCGGCTGTGAAGGTACAATTGGATTGGAAGGACTGCAGGCACTCTCCATACTCAGCGCAAACTTCACCAGGACGTGAAGTGATGAGGGTAGCAAGCCCCCACACACGCATCCGCCGTTGAGGCACCAAAAAGTGCTGGGAATTGACAAGTTGCCAAGCCTTGGTTGGTGTGAAGTGCAGTGCACTTGAAAAAGCAGTGATACCTTGGATCAAACCTAGCACACTAACCACATATGATTCACATAGAATGCTACCGCTCCGATAACGGCAGACAAAGTGCAAAGTCGTATCCAAGCTCTTGCATGTGCTTCTTCACCACCTGCTGGAGAGGGTTTGGAAGTGTTCTACAAAATATATATATATAACACGATATATGGGGGGAGTCGGTTGGGTGGAGTCCACTGAAAACTATGTGGTTTGGAGGCCATTTGGACCATCACATCAACAATATATATATATATAGAGAGAGAGAGAAGAATCTACATAGTGGAGTCCCATTCGGCTTGGAGGAAGTGCAAAGCATGCGCAAATGCACTAAACACAGTTGATTGGCCTCAACTGCTGCTTCTTGCTTATCGCCATTCTCATCCCGGGAGCCAGTAGTAGCACCGCGGACATTCTCGTATATAGCTATGGCCGGTGCCAGAACTTCCACCACCTAAACTGACAGCAATTGGAAAACTGCAAAAACTGCTTACTAGTATGTGTGTATAATGATACAATATATATATATATATACACATACACTTATACACTTACGCATATTTTAAAAGGGAGCATGTTTGAAGAAAGCTTGAAACATGGATATATATATATATATGCATACATACACGTGTAAATAATGCCAAACCAAGACAAAGTGCCTTTCTGAAGCCATACTTGTAGGTTGGCCCTGATGTTCCATCTGTGTCCTCATTCTCCTCCCCTAATTGGTAGCAAGTTGAATGCTTTCGCTTCTCCGTATTCAGTGTTGAAAGGTCCTTGCACGATGGTCCGCTGATGAAAATGTCCACTGACAGAAGATCCCGCTCGATCTTATGGCATGTTTTACAGCGGTAGCAATAACCTTCACCATCCCTGAAGACGTTGACATCCTGAAATACGTGGCGGCTGTTGTGCTCACGCAAAATCAGGTCAAGCTTTTTAGGGTCAGCTTCAACGCTGAATATAGGATCCAATGCGACTGCAGTGCCCTGGTCAAGATTCTGAAGGCGTTTGAACAACTGAGAAAAAGACACATTCTAACTGGACGCTAGAATGAACAAAAACACATGTGTATGACTATTTAACTGTGAGGCTTGCAAAAAATAGTTTAGAGCGCGGGTGCTGCCTTCTGCTTGTTGAGAGCTGCCAATGTTTGCTTGAAGACTGTGATCACAATGTCAGAGCCACTGCAAGTGGTGCCAATTCGAATGGTACTGCGGTCCAAGGAGAGGATTGTGTCAAAGATCTTGCATTGATAGACGGGGTCACATATCCCCATGAAGAAATCACAGGTCTCTCTCAAATCAGGCTTGGGAATCTTGACCTTGGCCCTTGCAAAGCCTTGTTGCAGAGCAGACACTTTGAGTTTGATTGTGCGATTTCTGTAAGCAGTATCAACCCAAGGCACAGGACTGGGAACGTCGAATGTAGTCACACTATCCAACTGCCAAAAGTATGGCTGCTTGTGCCGCTTCAAAGCTTCAAGCTCGAATTTGCTGTAGTATTCAAGGAGGGTCTTCTCAATCTCGGGGTCTGTTCTGTCCAGTAGAAAGCAACAGCGTATGTGCAACACGCCGTAGCACATGTAGAAATTTGGTGATCTCAGGAAGGCAAAGAGTTCTGCGTGATGGGAATTATAGGGCCTCACTATGAATGAAGCTCCTTTCTGAATTTTGCCCCACTCTCTGTCATGCAAAACAATCGCATACACTTCCCCGTTTGGGCTGGCGAAGTCATGGATTTGCAGCTGGCAATCGCTCATGGATTCCACGTCTGGCCATTCTTGATCCTCCGTTGACAGCCTTGATCTCTTGGAGAATGACCAAGATTCAGTAGAAGTATCTCTCACAAGCTGGGAGCGTGCATTTGTAGGCAACTCATCACAGATAGACACCAGTGAGTCTGTGGATCCAATCTCGCTTGTTTGTTCTTTGCTGCAGCTATCTGGCAAATTGCAGGCGAGGTCAGACAAAGAAAAATAGAGCCACACGATCGGCCCTCCTGGTTTGGATCCTGAATTCAGAATCAAAGGCGGGTCAAAGACCTCAACAGCTTCCATGTACCATCCCCAGAGCTTTTCCTTAGAAGAAAAGCCTCCCTGATCCAGTTCTAAGTCTGTGAGCCTGTGATAGTGGAAATGCTTGGAAAGGTCATTTGCATCCATGCTGATGATGCCTTTGTACTTCAAAATTCCCAAGCACATGCGTGGTTTGGACCGGTTCACGCTAATCAATGCCACCTCATCTCCTTCTTTTAGAAAATTGACACGGATAGTGCGGATCTCCATTGTCTTGCGAATGCCATTCTGTGTGACAAAGCGCTGGGCATATTGTTCTCTCACCATCAAACCAGGCACTCTGCCATCCTTTTCCTTGACGTTCCTGAAGGCACGCTTGGCTTTCTCCAGGATCAATCCCTGCACGCGGCTATTTTTCTCCCGGAAGGTGTGTATATATATATAGACCAATACAGACACAACTTCATGAACATATGTATATGTATGTATATAATTAGGTAAATATATATATATATATTGTAATTATGTATATATATATATTCAAAACAAAACCGTAAGCTTCCCCGCATTTCTGAAAACCTTTGATTTCCCCAGAGAGGGAGAGTCGAAAGGCCTCATCGCACGATTCAATCTCCTCCCCCATAGATGCAAATGCCGCTGCCAGCATTTCTTCATAAGATCCACCCGCTTCCTCATCTAGAAAGTAAGGGTCGTTGTCGGGGTCGGCAATTGGAATCAGCATCTCCTTCAACCAGCTCACATTCTAAAAGGAAACACACATACTGTAGCCCATTCCAAGTAAGAAACATCCTGCAAGCTGCATGGAAACAAATATATAAACAAGCACAGCACAAGCTAACATTCTCTCAGCTTTGGATTGTTAAACAATGAGACCTCGGAGGGATCGCAACCAGAAAAACACATTTGTCACGCGACATCTAGACCCCCACCTCCTGTTCTTGTGCTTCCTCTGTAGTGACCATTGAGGGCTCCTGCAGGTGCAGCGGGAAACAACAACAACCAAAAAAAAAAAATATATATAAGGTCTCAGGACCATGGACAGAGTGCGCATTCTTAGTGAAAAATATACTGCAAATTGCTCTGAAGCAAGGGAAAAACACTCACCTGCATATATAGATTGCTTAAACAAATCACTGCTGTTTGACTGTGCCTGAACAACCTCCGCAATGACGGATGCTTTGCTGTGATCCACGCTTTGAGGGTGCTCCTAAATGCTATGATTCTCAGAGCCAAGTAAAAAGTCTCTTGGCACACCGCAGACATTTGAACCCCCACCTCCTGTTCTTGTGCTTCCTTTGTAGCGACCATTGAAGGCTCCTGCGGACACAACGGGAAGTATTGTAAGGACTCAGGACCATAGACAAAGAGCGCATTCTAAGTGAGAAAC